TTTTTTTTTTTTTTGGTAATAGCTGTGTAGTGTGTTTATCGCTCCTGTTTTCTTGTTGCCATGGCGGCAAACCACCGCAGGTTTTTTTTTTTCTGTATTATATAGATATATGTATTTTTCTTTTTTTTTTCTTGTATTTCTCAGTCCTTTTTTTTCTGTTCGATTGCTGTAATCTCAATTCCGTTTTATTATTATTGTTTGTTTTCTTTTGTTTCATTACTGTATTATTTATTCCTGTATCTATCCATCTATCTATCTATCTATCTATCAAACTGTATATAATATATAAAGGCATTGACCCGTTGGGCATCGCATGACACTTTAACAACAAGGCGGGAAAACAAGCAAATAAAAACACACACAAATAAAGTGGAAAAGAGAAAAAAAACAAAAAAAGAAGGTTCGCCATGAGAAGAGAACGTTAGCGCATTTGAAACAACAAAAACAAAAAAAATATATACAGGATGAGAGAGTAAAAGTGGTGTCTATTCACATGTGTTTGTAATGGAAGTAAAGAGAGAGAGAGGAGGGTGTCTACCTCCCTCTAAGTTTATTTTCCCTGCCCTTTCCTTTTCTATCATATATATATATATATATATATATATATATTTATATATATATATCTTTCCTACTCTTTCTTAACACTAATACTAATACTCATACTAATAGGAATAAGAATAGGCATATCAATAAGAATATCACTATCACTATCACTATTAATAAGAATAACAGAGAGAGAGAGAGAAAGACCCCCTATTCTTTCCTATCTCCCTCTCCCTCATATTATATATATAAATGCTCTCTGCAAACGATCACAGTGCCAGCGACACTCTTCACAACTTCCATCATGCCCTGCAACGTGCCCAACAGGCATTACAGCAGGAGGAAACTCGACTCGCACAACTCACCCACACCGTCAAACAACAGCAGGATCACAACAACACCATTCGAGATCACATACGCGGACAACAACAACAACAATTAGAGGCCCTACGCCGTGAAATCGCCCGGGTGCGCTCCCTCAC